ACCCCATGGGATAGGCGGATGGGCAGTGCCTAAAGGCTCCCCTCTACAGAGGAGGAACCCAAGGCTTATTCAGATCTACACAGACAGAAGGAGACAAAGCTGGGCCAGAGCAGCTGGGGCTTTTTTTCTGGACCCCACAGTCCTCTAAGGTTGAACCAACTTTCTCAGGAAGAGAAGAGCAGGTCAGTGACCCATGGTAGCCATAGGACAGGTGTGTGTGTGTGTGTGTGTGTGTGTACAGGGTCATGAGAGGAAGAGGGGGTACCCACTCAACCTTAGCAGTTCCTGAGAATTCCCATGCCAGGTTTTGAGGAGCAGAAAGTTTCCAAAGAAAAACCTAAACTCGGGGCACCTGGGCGGCTCAGTCAGTTAAACATCTGCCTTCGGCTCAGGTCATGATCTCAGGGTCCTGGGATCGAGCCCCACATTGAGCTGCTTGCTCATGGGGGAACCTGCTTCTCCTTCTACCCCTCCCCCTGCTTGTGTTCTCTCACTCGCTCTCTCAAATAAACAAAATCTTAAAAAGAAAGAAAGAAAGAAAGAAAGAAAGAAAGAAAGAAAGAAAGAAAGAAAGAAAGAAAGAAAAAGAAAGGACAACCTAAAGTCCATTGTTAGGAAATACATTTTCCCCAACAGCCATTAGGATAACTGGATTCAAAGAACAGCTATCACGATAAGTATATGTCTTTGAAGACCTTCAATCTTGGCCCAATGCCTGGGTCCAGGTTCAAGGCTCCCATCTAATGGGCCCCATGACCCAATCCCTGATTTTCAACAGCCCCTGTGTACCCCAGTCCCCCATCACCTCCTGGGCTCCCCTCCCTGGACCTGGGGAAAGATCTCTTCTTTCTCTCCCTCTAGTCAGACCACTAGAGTCTCACTGGCAGCTCAAGGGCATTCCTAGGACTCAAGTCCACCAGCTGCAGAGGCCTGTGGAATGTCCACTCCCGACACTCCTGTGTTACCTGGCCAGCCTGGTACTTTCGCACACTTTCCCAGGAGTGCACGGACTTCGTGCCGTGCTCCACAGAACAGCTGGTGCTGGTCTAACAAATCCAGTTAACCAAGGGCTTCCCAACAGTGCTCAGAGACATGAGCTGGTTCGACGGTCCCCACTTTGTAAGGCTCTGGGGAACAATGTCACCTGCCCAAAGTCACCCAGGGGATGAATGATGGGGTCGGTCCTCAAATCCAGGAGGGCAGGTGTGTCCAAGCTGATGGGCAGGTGGCTCACTCTGCTCCCCACAGTTGGCAGGGCTGTGTAAGGCCAGACAGACCCCAGCTGTCTGGAACATGACATCCAGCTGGGACTGGGGTCCAAGAAGCAGAGTGGAGGAATCAGTGAAGCCCCAAACAGCACCCTCACTGGGGTAAGGAGGGGTGTATCCTACACAAAGAAGGACCAGGGCAAGGGGGTGTACTCTCTGGCCCGGGACCTCAGGGCCACCAGGCTCTGTAATCACAGAGCAAGAAAGTCTGGCCTTAACTCTCAGGAAGATGAAGTTTGGCTTGCAGATGGACTCCTCGATGAAGCCATCCCCGACTACCCCAAAACTCTCTAGCAGGGGAAGCTGGGAGCCCTGGCCTACAGTGGGTTGAGCTCAGGATCACCCGGCATCCTGGAGAAGTCCCAGGCTGAGTGGCCCCTGGGGCCGGTTACTCACACCCTATCCATGCCTGGCATGATGCTAGCTGCTGGGCACCAGGCGGGAAGATGACATGAAGGCCATGAAGGAGAGCCCTTGGAAAGTTGCAGGGCTCAGATAAACAGAGGGAGAAGGAAGATGACGAGGAGGACATGATCCCCACCCTCTGTGGACTTCCCATCTAAAACAACACTGTAGGGAGACCTGCCAGGCCAGGCCAAAGAGCACACCCACTTGGGAGATGGACAAAGGCCTATGAACTTTGCAACGCATTCCAAAGTTATCGCCCCGAACGGGTACACTTTTGAAGAACAATGTATGCATTTTATGGAAAAGGCATTCCTAAAAAAATAAAATGGTACAACCCCAACTGGGGAGTCAAAGGGCTGGATTTCAGATGCTGCACATGGCCCGAGGAGAGTTTACTTCCCGGGGGACGACGAGACTTTTGCCCGCTTGCTGGTCCCAGAGGCAGAGAGGGCTCAAGCAAGGAAGGGAACTTGCCACCTCCGCTGCGAGGGCTGAGGCATGGCTCTTCTGGGCAAGGAGATAGTGGGGACCGGGGCGGGGGGGGCTGTTTCTGGTGCAACTGTGATCCCCCCGCCACCCCTGCCAGGCCCTGACTAATGACAAGGGCAGTACGTGGTGCTGCTGAGCACTGCTCAGAGAGCCTCACAGGAGCTAACACATCCAATCCTCACAGCAGGCCCGTGAAGTGGCTACTCTTATCAGCTCTGTGTTCATTTGGAAACTGAGGCACAGAGGTTAGGCACCTTGCCCAAGGTCACTGGGATGTACACCCAAGCAAGCTGAGTCACCACTCTCCATGGGCGCGCTCAGCCGCCTGACCTCCGGGCCACTGAAGAGGATTGAAACTGGTCCCAGCCCTTCAGACTGGCGCACACGGGCCACGAACATCCAGAGAGGAGGATGCAGTCACTGGGCCACACCAGCCTGCTGAGCAGGAAGGCAGGCTCTGAGGACTGTGAGCTTCCACAACGGGGTGTCCTGCTCAAGTCACCCAGGGGCTGAAGGCTCTGTGACTCACTCAGTAAACATCCCCAGCCACTGCAGCCCCCACAGTTCTTCCTTGGAGGATGTTCTGCGGGATGGAGGACTGAAGGGCAACTTCCCTCGCAGAAGCCTCTTTGAAGTAGACTTCCTTGTGGGGGAGGGAAGGGGCAGTGAGGGGGGTGAGAGAGAGAACAACATGATTCAGACAACTCTGAAGTAGGAGTCCATGTTGGGGTAGCTGAGATAGCCCTGCCCCTCCAGAGCACAGAGGTACACCAAGATGGTGAGGAGTGCTCGCTGAGGGGGTAGCATGGGAGGCCAATACCCACAGACCAAGGAGGCTCAGAGCCCAGCTGAGCGACCTACACGGGGAGCTATGCACAGCAGGGTCAGCCTCTAGAGACAGGAAGCTGGTCCCAAGAGAAAGGAATGCTCAATCCCACAGGAGACAGCTCTGGCTGTCGCTCAGTCACCTCAGCTAGAGCCCCAAATCCAAGAGAGGAGGTACGTCTGGAAAACAACCAGTTACCAAGCTCAAGGACAGCATGCCAGTTAGCACAAATGCACCTCCTACCGCTTTGAAACTAGGCTGTGGAAACCAAGATTCCTCCTCAGGATGTGTCAAGTCCGTCAGGAACATTGAGGAATGCACACTGTTTGGCAGAGCAGGTGACTGGCTGACGGGCCTGGCATCTGGTCGGGGGTGGAGTGCTGTCTGGATCTGCAAAGGGGCTGGACGGTGTGAGGTAGGACAAGGGTGCCACACAGCCATCCGGACCCGGGGCCAGAGGCCCAGGCCACAAGAGAGCCTTCATTATTCTCGGTGATGCCAGTTTCTTACAAAATTACTATCACCCTCTGAACTGCTAACACATAACAAAACCCTGAAACACCGTGACGGGAAATGCTTCCAGTGCTATACTCCAATGAAGTGATCCAATGAAGCTATTTTTAACCATCTTCTCAGACTTAATTTCCAATTTTATCCTATAAAGTTCTAATTGATTCCACCTCCCTTGATCTCTCACTTGGCAAGGCTGTGAAGAACATGAGGCAGGCTCGGCAGTTTCTGACGCGTTCGAGGTGGGGGATGTGCACGTTGCTCATACCTCCCTTAGCACAGGCCTTCTTCTCAAGGGTTAACAGGCTTCCAGAAACGTCTGTCTGATGTACCTTTTGTCCCCACCATCCCCAGGCACTGATGCCTGACCTTTCCCTTCAAAGGTCCTTCCTTCCCTGGGCCCAAGGTGTGCAGTACCAGCCGGGATGCCATGACACGCCGTGGACCACGGGACATGATGCACAGCTTTTCTCACTTGGCCCCAGATCCAGAGGGAAAGGATGGCATGCCACTGAAGCTCCATTTCTGTCAGAGACTCAGGGGTCCTTTGCCTTCTGCCCACCCCCTTGGTCTACCCACGAGCTGGCACAGGAGAAGGCGGTCCGCACCCACAGCTGAGGTGGGGAAGGGGCCTGATGACCTTTAAATCCTGCCTTGCCCGCCCCCACCACCACCACCTCCATGCCCCACGCCAGCCACGCTGGGCTTTGCTCGTTGCTTGGATGTGCCCGTGGCCCCCTCCAGTCCTGCAGGCAGGCTGCTCCCCCTGCCAGGGCCACTCTCATGTGCATGGTGCTGGCTGCCACCTCTTGCCAGGGCATTCTGCTCTTAGGGAAACTGCTGCACTCCGATCCTTATTAGCCACTGCCAGGTGTACCTACGCTCCAGAGGCCGGGGCCCACGTCTGCCTTGCTGATGACACTGATCAGCCACCACCGCGAACATTTACTGAGCAGCTTCCTAGAGCCAGGCATAAGCCAAACACTTCCCACAGACTCATCTCCTTTAACCCTGACCACGAACAGAGTCTGTGACCACCGCATGTCACAGAGGAGCGCACCAGGGCTTAGAGAACTGAAGGGATTTCGCCAAGGTCGCTTGGAGGATAAGAGCAATGCCAGCTCAAAGCCAGAGCCTGGGCTCCCAGATGCCTTGACTCAGTGCTCACAGTTCCCTGGCATGCCCCTGGACTGTGCCCACCCCGCGATGAACGGAATGAATGGGCAGTGTTTCCTTCAAAGCTCTGCTGTGGCCCAGGCCAGCCCTGGGAGGGAACACCCTGGCAGGATCTAGCACTGGTGATTCTGGGGTCCAGTGGCTTGGCCACAGTTCAGATGGCTCTGAGAGCCAGGACCTCAGGGCAAGCACTGCAACTTCATTAATTTGGGCTGGAAAGTAGGTCCATTATGATGATGTTTTTTAAAAATACAGCACCTGCTGCCCAACTTCAAATAGGCCAAATGCCAGGCCAAGTGGGGTGAGTGCACGTCACAGCCTACCTGGGTGAGGACGTCCAGCTGGCCCACAATGTGCTCCAGCGTGCTGGTCAGCGTCTGGGGCATGCTGATGGGCTCCTGGGGCTGGCTCTGCACCGACTCCTGACTCCTGCCTCTGCCGGGAGGGACGGGGAAATCCACATCTGGCTAAAGCCAATGAAAAGAAAGGGAGTCCTTCAGTCCTCATTCAGGGCTTAAAGAAACACAGAAAGAGGAATAGCCCCTCCAAAGGATGAAGTGGAAAACCACCCACAAACTGGAAAACATGAGTTCCAAATACTGGTGAGAAATGCAGTGTGGTGGTACTCCCACATCCGGGCCACGCGCCCCCTTCCAGGACTTCCTTTCTGAGCAGAGGCCAAGAGTGAGGAGTGCCATCCAAGCACATGGCAGTGAGGTCTGGAGGAGCCTGGGAGGGAGGGGCAGGTGGGCTGCTGAGTGCCCTCTGCTGCCTCCTCATGCCGCCCGCACCCCCCAGTAGGCCCCTCAGAGTCCGGGGACCCTGAAGCCCAGGCTGGCTCTGAAGTCACCCCTCTTCCTGGCAAGCTCAAGGCCCATTCCCCTCCCCCAGCATGGGCATGGCCTAGAACTGGGGGGGGGGGGGGGGGGAGGTGTGTTCCAACCCTGCCCAAGGGCAGAACCCCTGGGAAAACAGGCATTTTATGTGAACATCCAGATGGCTAGTGGGAGTCCTGTGCCTGGTGGGACAGGCACCCAGGGCTGTTGTAGATCACATTCCAGGGGTGTGAGGGATCAGTGTTCTTGCCTGAGAAGCTTCAGCTCCCAAATGCAGAAGCCAGCCTAACCTCTGCCACCACCACCCCCAAATACACGCCCACAATCACCGAGCACAGGTGATTTCCTAAGGGGACTCATCCCAGTCCGACATGGGTCCCCCCAAATTCAGGCACCACTCTATATACAGATGAACGCTTCTCCTAGCCCAGGAAGCACTGTGCATGTGTTCAGCAGGGTGGGATTCCCAGAGCCACTGGGTTCCCGAGGACACAGTCGGCAGATGCCCCAGTTTTGGTCTGGAACCTTTGGTCCAGAACCTTCCTTGGAACCCTGAAGGAATGACGTACTTGGTGAGACTCTCACTCTCGGCCGGCCCCAAAGCCCCAGTAACCCATAAAGGCAGCCACACTTGGGGTTCAGGATTTTAAACCACGACCTCACAAACTTCCAAATGTTACCACGTCACTCCCTGGCTTTGCCAGTCCTCCAGGGCTTTCCATTGCCTTTGGGAGAAAATTCGAGCCCCCTGACAAGGCACCCCACTCTAGCCTACCTCCTTCCACAGCTCCCCTCCTGCCCAGTTCCCAAGGTCCCTCCTACTGGAAGGCCCTCATCCACCCTTCCTTTCCCCTGCCTCCAGCATCCTGGCCTCCATTCGCTTTGCAACCCTGAACACCTGATCGGCAGCGCCTCTGTGCCTCCCACACACCTGTGCCGGCCCCACCCCTGCCCTGTTCCTCCAGCCACTCCATCTCCAGGGCCAGGACACACAAGTGGGACAGACGAATGCCGGCGTGCCCACAGGGCCCACTGCCCGTCCATGGGTCCGTGTCCCTCTCCCTGTCTCCTGCCTACGCCCATCACCCCTGTCCCTTCTGAATCTAGGACATCACTGGGCTCACGGCTTGACAGCTACCCATGTGCCACAGAGCCTCGGCAACTCCAACCAGCCAGCAGAGTATACTGGCTATGACTGGGGCTCACCTAGGCTGCCTCCACACGTGCCACCAGCAGTCGGCTTGCATCTCTGAGTCTGCCCATCTCCTGGATGAACCCACAGTGGCCCAGCCCTAGGAAGATGCTCTGCTCTGGACATGCTCACCTGGGCGGGCATCAGAGTCCTCGAAGCGAATCAGCCCAGGACAGGGTTCCCAAGTAGCCAAGGAGGGCAGTTTGGCACATGGACCCTACGGCCTATTTTCCTTTATTTGGAAAGTGTTCTAGTCTCATAGATAGCAAACTCTCCAGTGCATGTCCTTTTGAACCCGGAAAAACACAGGCTCTGGAGGTGAAAGAGAATCTGAAGATGAGACACAGAGCTCGAGGGGTGTTCTCGAAAACAGGAGCAGCGTCCTGCGTGCAAGCCCATCATGGGCGTGTCAGCCGTGTGCTGCAGCCGCGCTGTAAGCCCCTCACCCACCAGGGCCGGCCCCCCCCAGCCCCCCACGCCCCCCGCCAAGTCCTCCAGAAGTCCATGCACTTGGCTAGTGCAGCCCCGACAGGTGTGGGGGTTTTCCTCCCGTTTTGTAATGCAAGCGCTTGACTTCTTGACTGCCCAGGCATCCACTTCAGAGAGGCATCCACTCGAAGAGGCCTATCTTGAATAAACACGCTGCTGCCGCCTGCGACCAGGTAAAGGGCTGGGCCACCCCCCACCACGGAGGCTCCTTGGTTTCCCAGATCTTGGCAGATTTTGATAACTGACCATATGGCCACGTGGTTTTTTCTTAAATTCCCACTCTTTTTTTTTTTTTTTTAAGATTTTATTTATTTATTTGAGAGAGAGAGAGCATGGGGGGGGGAGGGTCCGAGGGAGAAGCAGGCTCCCTGCTGAGCAGGGAGCCCGATGCGGGACTCGATCCCGGGACTCCAGGACCACGACCTGAGCCGAAGGCAGTCGCTTAACCAACTGAGCCACCCAGGTGCCCTTAAATTCCCACTCTTATGTTTAAAATTCACCAATAAAGAGTGAGCCCTGAAAATCCCTAGGCCTCTCCCCTCAATCCCAATAAAAGTGGAACCCCAGGCACTCGCTCTCTCTACCCTCTACCCTCACCCTTGCTGTGTGGCCTCACGTGTGTTATTTCTAGGTCTGGTAAGTAATAAACCTTCATTTTTTCAAAGGTTCCTGATGGTTACTGCTGAAGTGTGTCTTGTAATTATAGTAAGAACTGCGAGGGCCAGTTTCAACCACAACATTGGTTATCGACAGGCAATGGCACACAGTTTCAGATCCCAAAGCCTATGCAGGAGTCCACCCCGAAAGGAAATGTTCCAGAAGCCTCAACCAGCCCTCACCTCCCTGCAGCAGCCCCCAGACCTAGGCGGCAATGTCAAGAGACAGCAGAGAGAGGGCACCTGGGTGGCTCAGTTGGTTAAGCAACTGCCTTCGGCTCAGGTCATGATCCCGGGGTCCCTGAATCGAGTCCCGCATCGGGCTCCCTGCTCGGCAGGGAGTCTGCTTCTCCCTCGGACCCTCCCCCCTCTCATGTGCTCTCTCTCTCATTCTCTGTCAAATAAATAAATAAAATCTTCAAAAATAAATAAATAGGGCGCCTGGGTGGCTCAGTTGGTTAAGCAAGTGCCTTCGGCTCAGGTCATGATCCTGGAGTCCCGGGATCAAGTCCCGCATCGGGCTCCCTGCTCGGCAGGGAGTCTGCTTCTCTCTCTGACCCTCCCTCCTCTCATGTGCTCTCTCTCTCATTCTCTCTCTCTCAAATAAATAAAAAATAAAAAATCTTAAAAAAAAAAAAGAGACAGCAGAGTGCAGTGGGGAAGAGCAGGGATTCAGACAGGCCTTGGCCGACATCTGAGCTCCAGGACTGATCAGCGAGGTGGCCCTGGGCAAGAGGCTTAACCTCCCAGGCCTCTACTTTCTCATCTGCAAGATGAGGGTGATGATTGGGCCTGCCCCCCGCCCCAAAGGGCTGGGCTGTGAAAGGAACTTCTCTAAAATCAGCAGCAGGCCTTTCTTGAGAAGCGGCTCCAGCCCTGTGCCCACTGCTTCCGAAGGACCCCCCCCCCCACTTCCAGACATGCACACTCTTCCTTTGGACAGTGGGTCCCCAGGGCTCCCTCAGGAAAGGCCATGAGAGGGAGGGCGGGAGCCAGGCAGCCCTCTGTCCCAACAGCCAGCATCCTCAAGGAGTGGCCAGACGGGTGCTGCCGGCTGCCTGGGAAGGACAGAATGGAAACTCTGAGTGTTTCTGAAAAACGGCCCAGAAGCTGACAGCGCCGAGCCGAGGCTCTGGAAGCCCAGTGATGATGGGGAGTGGGGGGGAGCAGGGGGAGCACCGCTGACTCGCAGCAGGAACCCTTCTGAGCCCAAACAGAGCCAGCTCCAAAGGTGCACTGAGGACAGCAACTGCGAGCCGAGGCAGGGAGGCAGCCTTCGGAGGGCGGGGCCGCGGGAACCGCCCCGTTCCCCTGCCTGTTCCCCTGCCTGTTCCCCTGCCTACTCCCAGCTCACACGGGCTGCGGCCAGGTTACAACAAGGGAGACAGAAGGTCCGAGGGCAAGGGACCCTCGGGAGGGCCTCCTCACAAGCCCAGGGTCCTGCCTGCCCCAGGCTATTCCTCTGGCCGCGCCGTCTGGTCCTCGCCTTACCTTCCCCGGGACACGGCCCCTTCTGCTTGCTGTCTGCAAGGACAGCACTGCACGCGCCACCAGGCCAGCGCATGTTGTCCACCTGTTACCTGCCGCGTGCCAGTGCTTATACATGTCACTTCATTTAGTCCTTACCGCGGCCCTTTACAGCAGGCATTATTAAGCTTACTTTTCAGATGGGGAAGCAGGCTCGGGGAGGTTAGAGGTCTTGCTCGAAGTCACCCAGGAAATGACAGAGCTGGGATCGGAACCCCCAGCAGAGGCAGTTCCCTGACATCAGGCAGCCTCTGACAGGTGACACGGCCTGCAGTTTTGCCCCCACGTGCCTTCCACATACATCCGGCATCGAACACTTCCTGCATCAACCCCCTGCACCGCTCCCCCCTTCCCGGCCCCCTGCCCGGCACAGAGCTGAACACAGAGCAGGCCCTCCACACACACACTGGCCGCCTCCGAGAGCCCAGGCCACCACGGTGACATTCCTGGGTAATGAAACCTTTGCCAAGGCAAAGGGCCCGCAGCCCTACCCCACAGCACCCTGGAGATGCATGCTTCCCAGGGCTGGGCAAACAAGCGATAAGCAGAGATAAGGAGATGACGAACGGGAGTGGGAAGGGACGCACGCACTGGGCTGTGAGCAATGACAGTGACGGAACACCTGGGGTAGCACGTGAGGGGGAAATGCCGTCAGTGCTTTGCCTGTTCAACATCAAAGGGTCCCAGGGGCCCGGCCCGGCGGTTCTCAGGGACAATGACATCGGCACACACTACGTACCTACACAGCTGCACCGAGCTGACAGCTT